AGTAAAGCATTGAACTGGAGGATGGTCGGAGAATTCAGGACTGGGAGGAGTATTAATATCTGGGAGTGTGGTTAACTAAGAACGGAATTTTGGATCGGGCTATAAAGGATCGGAATGTGCAAGGCAGGAAAGCTATCGCGATGCTAAATGTGGTCGTCTGGGACCAGAGGATCTCTTAGGACACAAAAGAAAAATTTACAACGTCATCATGAAGAGTATCGTAACTTACAAGATAGAGGTCTGGTAACTGAAAGAAAGTAGTGAAGACGAAAGGGGGCAATGTCGACTGGGCGTCGCAGAGCGCGAGGCTGCGCTGTGAAAGCGGCTTAATGTATGTGTATTCACGTGAGACTAGTTTTTTTGTGCTAACAGGGCCGAGCCTTTATAATTTTCCCTTGGTTAGGCCCGGCTAGATCTACCGTGCAAGTGGGAATTTTTACTCGGAATGAGTTTCACAGAAATTTCAGGGTTTTTGTCAGTCTACAGTAGAAGAGAACCCTCCTCTACTTACTCACAATGCTACCTTCATCATCATATGGGCCCAGAGTTCGCAAGCTCTTGCCCGGGTAGAAATCGCCAAATTAAGTCTTTTAGTAAAATTCGTTCGTAAAATTCGAGCCAGAAAAAGAGAGGAAAATGAAAAACTAAGCACGGATGTGAATTCCCCGTGTAGTTTCACGTGGATATGACCCGATTTCCATGTGATTTCATGGAAATCGTCTGACTTCCATGGTCTTTGACATGGAAATCATAACGTTTCCATGAAACTCACGTGGAACTTAGGCCACTTCCATCAAACCTTTATGGAAATGAAAACATCTCCTTGTGAGCTCTACGTAAGCTTGTGAGCTCCATGTAACTCACATGGAAACCAAGTCATTTCCACCAAGTCTTCATGGAAATGGACACTCTTCCTTGAACTCGATATGGAACTCGCAACACTTCCATGCAGCTCACAAGGAAGCCAGATATTTTCCGTCAAGTCTTCAAGGAATTGAAAATTCCCTTCTCACTTCAGCATGAACATAGAAATTGCAGATTTCGACATGAATTTCCCTGCTAAAAATTTCCCCTGGGAAATGACATGTGATCACATGTCATTTCCCAGGGGAATGACACATGATCACATGTGCTCCCAGGGGAATGACACGACATCACATGCATGTGCTAACCTCGCGAATGACACATCTCATGTGCTGACCTGGAGAATGGACAAGGGATCTACCTACGGTATTAAAATACGTCACAATGAACCAACCACCATTTAATAACAGATCTAATTTAAAGTGAGGGTTAAACCCCTCCCTCTGGAGGGAGGACCTTCCTTAGACCTTTCCCTCCAAGGAAAACTTAAAACTGGACCACTTTACTGCTTACGGGTCTAAGCCGCTGAATGAAGCACATTCCACCAGTCGATACAATTTTAAACTTTAAACAAAAATTTCCCCTGGGGATTTCACCCACGCGGTTTTGGGCAACTTAATAACTCCCCTGGGGAAGTGGGCTCCCCTAGAAAGCTCCCTATTTCATGCCCAAAATGCAGCTCCTACTAGCGGTGCCATAGAAGAAAAAGAGTAAGGATCACTCTGGTCAACATGGGTTCTGTCCTCCGAACCAAACCAATTTTTTTCGATTCCTAGGTGCTAAAGAAACCCGAAAATGGCCATATTAACTTCAAGAAAATTTGCTGGTCCTCAGGGCGCTGCCATTTTGAATTTTTCAAAATTGAGAAAACCCACGATTAGATTTCTGCAAATATCTCCTCAATGGTTCATCTCAAGAAAAAAAAAAAAAAAAAAAACATCCTACGGAAAGAACATAAAATTTCCTACCAAAATCAGCCTCCTTTGTTTTTTCTAGCTTCATTTTTTGGTCGTAAAATTAACGTTTTCTTCAAAAATTAGCTTAAAAAAGGCGCATTTTTGCTGATTTTAGGAGAAATTTTGCTTCATACCTCCAGCCACGATTATCTGAGAAAAAAATTTTTATGTTCATTGAAAAGAACGTAAAATTTACTTCTAGAAAACACATGTCAATAGTTCCCAAACTTGATTTAATCCTGTGAAACAGCATAGTTTATTAGCTCCGCCCTTAAATGTGATTTTTTCGACCAATTTCCTTAGAATCACGAACAAAAGAGAAAAAAAAAACCTAATAACGTAACCCGAACTGTGTAAAAAGTTGCAAAATAGTGCTGGGTCCACACTATTTTGCAAACAAAGCCAAAAAGTTCCAAAATTCTCAATCAGAGTCAAAAGTTTTGAGCTCTAATGGATAGCCAGTACGGCAGCACATAACTGAAGGGGAAGAGCGTTCAGCTCAAGCAATTAGCATTAGAATATTAAGTAGATGTCACGGCGAGAGATCTATAATTTTGGGTCTTGTTATGGACCTCGTCAGTAGATCACACTCGTCAGTGAGATCAAAAAGCCAAAGTGTTCAAAAATTTTCAATCAGAGTCAAAAATTTTGATGTCCAATGAGTACCAGTACGAAACTTGCCGTCTTTCAATACAAAACTTGTACTTCGAACTTGAGCTTTTATGCCGTCTTGGATTTTGCGAGATTTTCAGTTGGGTTCACATGACTGGTGGAATGTGCTGCATTCAGCGGCTTAGACCCGTAAGCAGTAAAGTGGTCCAGTTTTAAGTTTTCCTTGGAGGGAAAGGTCTAAGGAAGGTCCTCCCTCCAGAGAGAGGGGTTTAACCCTCACTTTAAATTAGATCTGTTATTAAATGGTGGTTGGTTCATTGTGACGTATTTTAATGTCTGTCTCTATTGACAGTCATTGACCGTAGGTATAGATCAATTTGATGATCTGTCTCTCGCTTTGTATTTTTGAGGATTGACACTTCGTGGAACTTGCCTTATCAGATGTACATAGGTACATTGCTGCTTGGTGCCATTTGCTCTGTGCGTCTCGACGTTCTCTGTCATGTGTGGAAGGAACGTCGGGTAGAGAATCGGTGGCTAACTTAACATCAACAATGATCGGAGTAAATTGTGACATTATTTAAGCTACATTTTTATCTTATTCATTGTTGTCGAGCGATGATGTCGCATCTTTTGAAAAATGCATTTTTCTCTTCTAAAAATAAATTGAAAACAAGCGGGAAAGTTCTAATACTGTCGTATTAGAAAAGCGCTCAGGTGTTAGTCAATGTATTTAGTGAAGAAAGGAAGTATAAACTCCGTCGACTTGGCTGGGAAATGGAAATAAAACATCAGCTGATAGCAAAAAAAAGTTACCAAGGAAACCGTAAACGCGTTTTTTCGTTTCCCGAAAATGATAGCCACCATTGAGCTCATCAGGCGCGTTTTCTTTAGGCTTCTTTTATTTTCAACGATCAATTTCGATAAGAATTACTCTACCGCTAAGGAAATTTCTTATAGACAAACGATCGTAACTACCCGCGCATTACGTTAAAAGGATAAAATACGGTTATCACAGCTTTATTTATTTTAAAACTGGACCCCCCCCCCAAAAAAGCCTACACATCGATGAGCTGGTGCGCCATTTAAACGAATTAGCACTAGTATACTATAGTATTCTAGAGGCAAGTCGAAATCAAAAAGCGCTGCCTATCGGCTGAGCGCTTAAAAGGTGTTGTGTCAGTGCTTTTCGGAGAGTGCTGTTCTGTATTGATCAGCTATTAAATTATGCAACTAATTTTTCTCCATGTACTAATGCCATCTACTTTTTAATAGTAATTTGCCTATTGCTCTCACTTCAGCATTGATGTAGATACTGATTTTCTACACATCATACATTTTGGCGCATTCAGTACTTCAAATACCTATTAAGTTTCATGAAATTTAAGGCACTTGATTTTCGGGGGCTGACAATGAGTATCGAAATCATATCATTAAGAAATTGTTTCCAGTAAATTGTTTCAAATTATTTACAAAAAATTTAGAGGGTTTGATAATTGAAAATGAAAATATAACATGTTCAACACTACTTTTTAATAAAAAAGTGCTTATGTGATGACCAAAAATGGTTTTTTTTCGATTACACCGATATGGAGATCTTCTTCAGCTTTTTTCAAAACACTCACCGAAGGAGAAAAAATTCGGCTGCTAATGCAACCCGCAACAACGATCGTATGGCTCATCTTTCGTTTTTTCCCATTTTTCTTCATTCTTTTTTTCTAAAATTAAGATTGTTACAGTTTCACGTCACACTGAACCCATAGTAGAGAATTTTTCAAAAATGATTGAAATTCGCGAAAGTTTATTTTATAAAGTCTTATAAGATCTTGCTTCTCTGGTTTGAACCATAGCGAGTATAGTTTCTTGGCGCGCACCGCGCGGAGCACTTTCAACATTGTATTTATGCTTCAAACGCGACACTCACGCGCTCTGATGTGCAATTTTCGTGTATTGCGTCTGCCGGAGCGGAAGTCCAGCTGGGTTCAATGGCCTGCTCTCTGAAAATTCAAGTTTGATTTTTGGGGTTAGCAAATGATGAGGAATGATGACCAAAAGAGAAAATTTATAATTTTAATAGCTCGAGCGCTAGTCGCACGGACATGGGTCCCGATAACCCGAAACCAGTATTTCAGTGGGCGAATTCGTGGCGTCTCCGCAAATTTCAATTAACTTGCATTCGAAACCTGTGTGTAGACCTGTAGCGTACTGAAGACGCGGGGCGGCGATCCACCGGGAGCCAGGTGATTAAGACCCGCTACCAATGGGGGGGGGAGGGGGAGGGGGCAGCCGGCCGCGCATCCATCCATCTCACGTTCAAGACACGCGCCCGGTACCTCGCCGGCGCGCGACACCCCCTCCCCCTTCCGTCTTCCACCGTCCAGACTCCCGAAAAAAGGAGTCTAGAAGCGGAGGAGTGGTGAAGCGGGGGAAGAGGAGGAAAGCAGGGAGATTTGACTGCAGGTTCTTGCTTTTGAGGAGCCGTTGCCGAAGTAGGGGCTGGCGCGCGACACATCCCCTCCACTGCTGAGGGGAGTCTTCGGCTCGACCAGGTTCTTCCCGCTCCACCGTCCTCGTCCAGGAAGCCCGTCCTTACCACTCCGATCAGTCGCCGTTTACTTCCCGCCCGCGACGGTCAGTTCGTGTTAACGACCGCTCGTGTTTGATTTCTCTCCCCTCGTAGTGTGCGAACGTTCAGTGTGTGACCCTCTCTTCGTGTTGTATTCGCCCTTGTGACAATCTCTTCCTCTGCTCGTGCTTTTCGTATTGATGAAGTGAAATGGCCTCAGTCATTGGAAAACCTATTGGATTGATTAACTTGAGCGCTAACAACGCCGGCCTAAAGCGTCTTCACAACGGAACTGCAGTCATCGTAACTTCGCCCTCCCAGGTATCTCCTATCCCCGTTACTCAGATAAAGACCGAAGACAGAGGTACCGTCCTGGTCACTAACAATAATAACACCAACATCGCCAACAACAACCCCAATACAGGCTCGGAGTTGCTGCGGTGCAAGCGGAGGATAAATTTTGCATACTCTAACATGGCCAACCATCAACCAGCCTCTGTTGCGCGCCGAAATGCTCGTGAACGAAACCGTGTAAAGCAAGTCAACAACGGATTCGCAACCCTACGTTCTCACATTCCCGTTCAGGGCTCTTATAATCAGAATTCTTCATCTAGAAGCTCGAATAAGAAACTCAGTAAAGTCGAGACCCTTCGCATGGCTGTAGAGTACATTAGATCACTGCAAGAACTGTTGGACGGTAACACACATCCATCCTCGAGGGACCAAAGCTATTACCCGGAAGACTCCTTCAAGCTTGAGTCAATGTCCCCGACGTGCTCTGAAAACTCTTCTTCACCACCACCCTCATCCTATACGTCTGAGGGCTCTTACAATACGCCAGCCTACGCACCCATGAGCCCGGAGGACGAAGATTTATTAGATGTGATATCCCTTTGGCAGCAGAGCCAGTGACGTTTTTATGTCAAAGGTAAGCCCATATTATTTTCCGTAAAAGTCATTTTCAAGCAATCCGGGTGCCATTCTTTGGATTCTAGAAAAGGACGGGAATCTTATGGTTCCCATCCATTCTAAGTACCTATGTGCCTCGTGTTATTCCAAGACCCGTTGCTGATTCGGTGCGACAAGATGAGTTCCTTGGATCATTTGTGCCCTCGTAACGATGAAATGTATAAATTTCCTTCAACAATTTGTTTCTCTTCGTTTCACGATCTCAACTAGATTTTACTATTTATATACCGTATTATTCGAACGAAATCGACGGATCGGATACGTTTCCAATTAATTTTTTCAGTAAATGCCGATGATCCAGTCCTGGAATCGTTCCATAGAGAATACAGTGCGTAGCTAAATCATTAATTGGCAAGCATATCGACGGTGTAAGTCGGCAATCACATAACTTGGTTTGCGACGTCGTAGACTTCCTGTCGTACTTTATTTTAAATGGAAACCTACTCAACTTCAAAAAAATAATATAGAGTCTGAGATTTTCAGACATTGCCGACTTACAACGTCGATATGCCGAGAAAGTAGTTAATCTTACGACGTGTAACGCGGAAATATTTTGAGTATTCTCGGGCCATTTAAGCAGATTAAGTTTTGAAAACGAACCCATCTGTAATATAATTTAAAGTGTGTAAATAATTTTCTTGAGGATGCCTCAGTTTCTAAAATAAAGTTAATATCATTTTAGATCTCAAACACTCACGTTGTACAACCGAATCAATAGTGATTGTGAAATGCAGTTTTTTCATACCCAAACAGCCGTTATTTAATATTCACGGCATGCTAACAGCTTAGCAAAGTTATGTTCTCTTTTTCACAGACATCATATAAGAAAAATAAAAATAAGAGAGAGTCTGCCGCCATCCATCTCTACTTGTTTCCTAACGCATTACGTATGTAATTCTGTAAGCCGCGTAGTAATAATATTTCTCTTGTAATACCTATTAGACACCTTCCGTATTGAGGAAATATCAAAAAGTTCTTGCAAAAGTGAGCAGTATGCACAATTTTTCTTGCGTGGTCTTTCGCCAACGGATAGGTAACATGATTCATAAGAAAAATACACGAACGCTCTTTAATATTCGTTGAAAAAAAAAAAATATATATTCCTTCATTTGATGTGGAGGATAAATATTTTCCCAACATGCCTGATTCTATTCCTTTCGAGGAATGAAAAAATAAAATGAATATTTGACAATAATCTCTATTACTGATTACCTACTCGTTACTTCAAACTTCAATACGACTTTTAATAGTTAAATCACTCTATTTCAATTTTAAATGCTACTCATGGATAAGTAATTACATACCCTTTTGAAAACTTTATCAATTGCTATCCATTTGTTTTGAGGATGTCCAGAGAGGTTTGGAAAAATCATACATTTTCCTATTTACCATTATTTTTTAAATTTGGTTATTTACCTAGGTCTTAAAATGCAGAATTCATCACTAAAGTGATTGGATACAGATGGCGCAGAGCATTGTAAAATAATATAAAAAATAATTCAGTTACATTTTTAACGAATTGCAAACATTTGCTTTGATTATAAGTAATGAAATTTGTTTTGCCGAGATTCCATGTCACCTCAACTGAGAGATGCCTTCTCTGCGCTGAATTGAGCAGAATACGCAGAAATATACCTATGAGGACTTAGATCAATTTCCTCATTATTTGTTATGTTCTACGATTTCCGTCTCCGATTTTGATGGAGAAAACACATTTGAGAAAATTCCAAAGATTAGTCAATTGGAGGGGCAAGATGGGAAACTGGAATAAGTTTTTATGGGCAGGAAAGCCACATCCTTATTTTTGGTTGCTTGTGGCGTACCAATAAACTTTAGTGTCCCTAGGCGATATGTATATCCCGCTTTATGAACAAAAGAGAGGCACATATTTTTTACACGAGGAAAGCCGTTGGCGACTATGCAATTTGGAGTGTATGAAGAAGGCGAATATCCTTTATCACGGTTGGGCATTCCATCGACGAGGCGAGCGCTCAAGAACACAATGCAACCCTCTTTTTCCATCCCAACGGACTTTACCATTTGTTTGTTTACAAAACTTTCAGTGCCGCGAGGCGTCGGCTGTGAAGCCCATCTTGCGGTCGCTGTAAAACCGGAGCGGCAACGGCATATGGCGCTCTAATGGATATAAATTTCATGCTCACTTATTTCCTCATCTAGTCACCAACATTTTAGTTTTTCCCGTCCATTTTCCTCCCCACTTCTGCAAGAAACTCAAAAGCCGCGTGCTCTCTTATGTTTTGCATTTAAGTGGGTCGCAGGACAGGTCGGCTCTAGAGTCACATAGGTATCGATGGTGAAGTGCAGAAATGCGTACCTCAGCTTGTAGCATCACAGACTTTCTATCATAATTCAGACTACTTGAAGTCATTTTTTTAAAACTTCAGCGACTCTTCTGTCTCCATTTGCAGAAAAGTTAGCAAGACTTTTAAGGGGTGATGTTGGTTCGGGTCTTCTTTTCGTAAATAAAATAGGAGCGAAGGTTTTGAAACACCGCAAACGCGATACAAATTTTTACAGTTTCATCGGCAATACTTTTTCGTCAACATCTTTCGTATAAAACGACTTGCACATCGTAAAGCTTGGAGATATCTCCTGAACGAAGTAATAACGAGTACTAATTTTAAAGACTGTTCATATTGAAGTTAGATTCTACAAGTGATGTCATTTGTAGGTACTTTTGACATTATTTAATCAATATTCACTGTCCAGACTTAAATCTTCTTTAGGAGTTGATTTCTAGACTTACCGTTGTATGATTCATTTTTCTCTTAAAATCGAAGAGGAAACATGTTGAGTAATGTTTTAGTTCATATCTTGTTTATTGGTTCATAAGATCACGAATTCACGACTGAATTCTCATTTCTGCAGCCACACAGCTTACTTACTTGACCGGAAAGGAATGCGTAAAGTAATTATGTATTCGTTTACTTTGTTATACCTACTGAAGTGCTGTGCTGGATGCGTGCATACTTATCGCGGTAAGCAAAAGCACTATTTGAACTTTTAACGTTGTTGATACAAACTCGAATTTTAAATTTAATTTAGGATCTGAGCAATTTTGAATTCTAAAATGTATGTACTTGCTCCACATTTTTAATTCATACGACAAACTTGTTTTATGTAGGTTCTTATTACCTTCACAATATTGTCCACATATACCTAAGAAAGCGCGGTACAAAGTTTCCTTCGGAAAAAGCTAACAAAATTACTTGCACTGAAATTCTCTCGTTCTTATCCGATAATATTAAAAAATTCGCAGAAAGCCAAATTTTATGAAAAATCAATGTGGAAGCACCTAGAAAGGGGGAAAAATGTAAAAGCAGAAGGCATTAACAAGTTAAGCGCATAGCTTTTTACGAATGAAACTTTGTACCGAGCTCTCTTGTGTGGACCACATTGTGAGGGTAACCTCCAAAAAAGCGAAGGCTGCCTCCAAAAAAGCGAAGGCTGCCTCCAAAAATGTGAAGGTGAAGAACATTCTGCACCCTTGCACTTAATCCCCGGGAAGAAAACTGCGCGTCCTCACTTGGCCTACTTGAAGATGCACCCAATCGATGAGACTTCCCCTGGCAAGATTGCCGGATTTTTCAATAAAATTTCTCCTTCTCCAATTTTTCTCGTAAGGAAATCGTGCGATTCCTCTCATCTGACCTCTAACCCTCAAAAACACAACACATGCTAGGCGGCGGGGCTCGAAGCGCCACTCACCGTACGCCGTGTGGCGGCCGGGTGCCAGATCATGGATTTTTTTCACCGAAGCCCCACGTGAAAACTTAGACTTAAATGACTGATTAGTCAACAGCGGCGGAGAGCAGGACTCTTTACAAATTGGTGCAAAGTCTCGCCGCGCCGTCTCGTCTTCGTTTGAGGAGTGAGGTTCTAGCTTGCGTATGTCGTCCCTAACCTCACTCGAGACTCTGTCCAGGATTAACGCATCGGTGGCTAGCTGTTGCCTCCGCTCCGCATCTGTTGTTGGTTGAACTCCGTGTCAGACTCTCCGTAGATTAGCTCCGTCTTCGTTAACGCACTCGCCTCCGAAATGTCGCATCGGCATAGCCGTATACTTGAGGGTCATCGAAGCAGGAAAGCTCTAGTACGTTCGAATTATAGAGGCGCTTCGCAAATTCTATCAAGGCGCGTTTAAGTTTTTCAAACAAGATGAGCACCGTTGAGATGAGAGAAAAATATCAACTATCAAATTAGAGAAATCTACACTACAGCTAATTAAATAAAATAAAGAAAATCGATTATCATCCTCCTTGCTTTGGAATCAGAAGCTTTAAATAAGGTATCGCAGATTACTCTATGCTAAATATGTTATGCACTTCACCATCATCTTGTAGAGCTGGTGCGACTTTTGATCGCATCTCCAGGGAAATGTTTAAATGTTTTCCATCCAAATTTTTGGGGATTTTAACTCGTATTTTGATCAAAAGTACCTATCTGAAAATGTCAAGGATATAGCATTCAAAACTTTCCGCAAATATGAATATTTTTTCGAAAGAAATGTGGTAACGTCTGGATGCTCACTCTGTGTTTTTCAAATCACCCACTATCACGTCTTTGGAGAGAAAAATTCTTCTATATCAGGCATAGTGATCGATAAAACGTATGTGACTATGGCGTTAGGTTGTTTTTCTTTCTTCTTTCCAATATGACTGAAAACGTGGAGGATTAAAACTTATTTAAGTACCCTCAAAGTTCAAACTCATTTAGCAATTCTCCCTTTTTTGCAGCATGTATTAGCAAGAAACATTGATCAAACTTCAAAGCATTTATGCTGACCCCCCACCGCCTTCGGGACGTTGAAGATTCAAATTTTAGAATATGAATTTCATGAAAAAGACAAGCATATTTCTCAATTGAAAAATTCGAAACGTTAACAGCACAACTGCAAAAATACAGCCTAAGGCTGCGGGCCGGTGAGGTCAGTTATTCTTACAAAGTGATAAATTAACATGTCCCAACAATCACCCTACGAAACTCCGTTTTGACTTATTTCCGTTTCTATTTTTTAACTACGCGTACGTAGGGCGAACATGCGGGTAGGCCAAAGCGACCTCCCTCCCCCCCCCCCCCCCCCCCCCCCCCCCGGGGATGCAAGCTTTGTCATTCGGACGTTCCGTTGACTGTCTTGGACGCATGGTGTTTATATTAGTTGGCGTTGTGTACATTTTTAACCAGGTTGCCAGTCCATGTTACGTAAATACAAATTCCACAATGGTCACAATGAGTCGGTGTCTCCTCGTTACAGTTGGCATCCTGTGTCCCCCAACCGATAGCCCGCTGAGCCATAGACGACGCGTGCCCCTCACAATCAATTGATGGATGATAGTTCCGATAGCTTTCCGTAATCACAGCGTTTTGGCTTTCACATCGGCTATTTAATCTTCAGCCTCTGTTTTGTGCGCTTATACTTGGTTTCTGAAATCCCCTTCTCTACTAAAAACGAGCAGCTCTCAACACGACACGTCTCTTTTTGAATTATTTTTTTTTAAAGTTAGAGTCAAGGATTCCGGGAAGTTAGGAGTGTCTAGATCATTTTGAATGTACGAATTCTAAATGAACGTCGCACAAAGTGTGCTGAATGGTGACACTGATTAAAATCCCCCATTTCGTCATCCTTTCAAAACTAGATTTGCGTATTCTCGTGGTTTGTCGTCAATCGATTTTTATTTGAAGTGAGACGTTTGTCAAAATAATTTAATTTAAATTATTTAAGAGCAATGTCTACGAATACATTTCTTTATGGCTTGGAGACTATCGTTTTTTATCTGAACCCGTTTGAAAAATCTGTGCAAAGCACGATGACGCATGATGACTCGCTGTCAAAATAATCATAATCTAAATTCTCTGAAATCGGAGAGGAACCTTCGCTGCATTGACTTCGCATTTTTTTAATCGTAACTTTCTCAAAACTATTCAGCTAAAAATTAAGCCGAAAGTTCCATTTCTCTCACTTTTCTGTGTAAGTACTGAATTCGTAATCAGGAATGAATCGATTTAACGGAAAACGACCCGGGTATCGAGTGTGTTTTAAATACACACACAGGCCAAGAATTTATTAACTTTTATCTACTAGAGGCACTACCGTGTCACTGACTGTTCATCTGCAAGGTTAGAAAAATATTCGAAAGTCAATTTGAGCTTTAAAAGATGTCGATTCGAGTCGACCGAAATCACGAGCCCATTATGTTTCAAATCCTAGCAGGGCTTGAAAACTATTCAAATGGAAGCGATGCACTAACTGTAAGTTGACTAATCTTAATCTTAGCAGCATTGTAAGTTTTACACACCCTTGTTCCAAAGAACTTCTCGATTGAGGGTTAATTCTGTCTACACAAAACAGCTCAGGGCTCAATTCAAATCCCGCAATCAGACTTGTTGCCGTTTTGAGCTAAATGAAGATTAATGGTTTTTTTTTTTTTTTTTTTTTTTTTTTTTTTTTTTTTTGTCAGGTTTCGTATGTTGTGTTTGGGAATCCCTTATAACGGAACTCCTATGGACGAATTGCAGAGTATTTCAAAGCCTAAACCAACATGGTCTTGGTAAATGCAACTATACCTACTTCTCTTAAATCTATCTGATACTTAAAACTCCGCAAGATACCAAAATAGATGAAGAGGTGCGCAGTGTTAACAAGAAACAGAAGACAAATTAAGAGTAAATAAAAATAGCCACCAATTTTCACCCAGAGACCTCTAAGGAATGAGACCGAAATCAATACACGTTGTTCCTGATTTTTCGACACTCATTGCGTATTATTGCCAAGTTATTTAAAAAAAAGTATTGATTTATTCTTGTTATATGAGTAAGAAATAGTCTTTAGGAGGCACACTAGGCGAACGTCTCCCCGAGTCTTCCAAACGGCGAGGTTTATTGTTGCGATTGACAATAGCAGCGCAAGGAATGAGAAAGGAAGAGTAGGCCGCACCTCTAGTAGATCGCCCTTGCCCTCCCTCTTGAAGGTTTGGAACAGGTCTTAGAGGACTCCTTTCATCCCTCTGCGATTTCGAAGAAGACTACGCGGTAACACGAGGTACGGCCGTACGGGCCGGGAGTTTCCCCGTTGTGCCGTTGAACTGCAGCCTCTCTCTGTACTTCGCAGTTAAGTCTCCCGGACGAAGGAATGTAATTCCATTCCAAGGTTGCCGAACTGACCCAAACAATTAATTTATTTTAAAAAAATGTGCCTCTGCAATTATTATCGAAAATTGTCATGATGTTTGCATGAAATCCGGTGTAGTATCAGCGAAATCTCAGTCGAAAATGCCCGAGATTTTTCCGGTTAATATGCAATCGGCTATGAGAAAGATGGCAAAATTGAAAAGGAGTGTACATATTTTCCTAGGGGAAACGACGATTTGCAACTGTAATCTTCCACTTCACTACTTATAAGCTATCTTTTAAGGACGCTCATTTTTCTGCTATTTTTCGATTTTTATGATTCCTGCCAAAATATGGGGGAAAAATAGAAAATTCAGGGGAGAGGTGGCAGTGCGAAAGAAAAACAAACATTTAGAGTGGCAGAACTCGTTTTGGGCTGACAAGTTATAGAGCGTAACTACACTTCGAGATATTGAGCGAGTTATAAGGACGACAAAACTCATCGAGAAGTGTATAGTTATGTGTTTATGTCAGGAATGCGACAAACTATCACGGGGGAAGAAGACAGTCGTCACAACCAGTAGCTGGTTAATAATTCGCGAGAAAGTATGCTGCTCGGTAGTTATTTACCGCCATGTTAATTACCGTGGTAGAGGAAACAAATACCCGCCTGCTACCACAACTATCACGGTTGTTCTCGGTTTGTTATAGCCCTCTACCGCGGTAGTTATCCTAGGTAACCACCGCGCGGTGACGGGCGCATTTTTTACCAGCCGCTGGCTGCAATGACTGTCCTTCTATTCCATGTATGAAAGCAAATGACCGCATTGTAATCAACTCATCAACGCGCGTACCACCATACCATCAATATCGACCACAACTAACTACGCACTTCACGAATCGTAGGATTCCAAGCTAAATCTATTAAATGATGACACCCTGCGAACAAATATGTCCTTTATGTATACGAGACATGAGCTCCCGCGTACAAGAGACTATGCATTACTGTCCCCTTTAGCCAGTCTACGTAACTCGCCCGCAAATAAAGAAACGAATCTGACTGAAATAATCCGCGCCCCACCGTTTTCAGTAGAATATTTACCGGGGCTCAAGTGTAGGATCTTGCGACTAATAAATCACAGGATTTTGCATTCATCGGCAGATAGAGAGAATCTTCATCCACTTTCTTCCACCCCATTTCCTGGCTGACTTGCCTGAGCAGGCCATGCGTTCACCCGCTACGATCTATTGTGCCAAAAAATGATCGATGGAGAGAGATCATGGACAATTTTTAATCATGAGATCCACTGACAAGTTTGCCGCCCATATTCAATTGATGGGATTACAAGTTTGCCATATAATAGAGAGAAATAAGCTCAATCCTAACTGCGTTCTTTAAAGAATTGCCCTTCAATATCGAGAGAAATCCGTCTCCGACTTTCCTGACCACCATCAAGTTTTTTCTACGATCATCAGTGTGTTCTCTTTGTTCTCTCTGAATCGCTATGTTTTTCTTATTGAGGTATATTTTTTTATTTTTATAACTCTCCCTCAGTGCAAAGGCAACATGACATCTATGATTAATAGGAAATGCCTGTATAAATCGTTACTGCTGTATAATTGAAATGTTTTTCAAATTTTAGCTTCTTATCATAATGTTACGGTGAGTCGCCATCTTGTTTGTTTATTTACGGCCGTTAGAGCATCATGAAACCTAAAAACTCAACGACCAATCAAAAAGCGGCACAGTTTTTCTGTAGTAAAAAGACATACGAATGGAGAGCCAAAATTTGTTTTATAGTTTCATTCATATATTTAGATGTTGGAAATTCGGGAGACCTCTTTCTGCTTGCTGCACAACACCAACGAGCATCAGGTTGAAAGCGCCCCGCGGCTCATTGATGAATCCCAATATTTTCGAGGAAAAATATTTTAGTTTCGATTATTGAATTTATCTAATCTTTTGTAGAGCCCAGCACGCTACGGTGACCCAACAGGGGTGCTTACCCCTCTCCAAGCGATTTTATACTTGAACTCTGTTGAAATGATTGAAACGCGCTCGGTTGGGGGATGATTGAATACTTAATTTTGATGCGTACTGACAATTTGAACCCTTTCCATTAGTAATTTTATAAACTCTGCGGGCAGAGCTACCATTAACTTGCATTGTTATCCGGCCTATAATTTGATTCAGTTGTATCGACACGAAATGTGTTGTAATCCTGTTCGAACGTGGTACTTGAGAAACTGAAAAATATGTTTATCGAAGAATTCCATCAAATGACGTGTGATTAATTCTATAAAATAATACAAATTGGAAAACCGAATCTTCACGTTTGATTAAAGATGTAGAGAAACTTTCAAAAATTATTCTGTGCTCATTATTGTATTATTCTGTGTATCATTTTTTCAGTGCAGTTAGGTTTTAGGTATTATCTCTATCCACCGGAAATGCAACTGATTAAAATAAAAAGAGTTAATTATTACATTGAATTATTCCAGTTAAGAATTTTCTATGTAGGTATTCTCATCACCATTTTATGGTGGGTAAAGATTACTTATTGGGCTAACGTTTTTGGTTCCTCTGCTTTGTTCCAGAATCGTTGTTATTATTTACCTGATCTCACACGGACTCTTGCAAATATGTTGTAAATAGAAGAAACTACGTGATCAGTCGGTTCTATGACATGACTACCCGAATGGATTAACATAAGCCGTGAGTATTTTTATATCGATTTTTATACAATTTTCATTCTTACGATGTTTGGAGAAATAATTGAGAATTTGCACGAACAAATTTTTATTGCTGCATCTGAAAGCTCTTACCAAGCTAAGTTCCAAGTATTTTTCATACTAGCTGTTCTGGGCGCACTTCGCGCATCCGTCACAGATAGCCAGGGGGGCTGCGCCCCCTAGACCCCCAGTTACTCGTGTATGGCATTCGGTACGCTCCGCGAACCCTTTTTCTAAGTAGTTGGAAATTTATCACTATGATGTACACATTTTGGAGACTCCCAAGACAGAAATGATTTTGTCACAAAAATTTGTTACCAGAACGCCCCATCATTTGAACATGTATAAATATGTGGAGATGAAGCAATGATGGGGATCGATCATTCCTTCAATAACGCATTTGGATGGGACGTTAGTCCCATCGGGTGGAGGAAAGGAACAACCGTGGACCTCCTTCCACAATTTGACTCACCATGAAATAGCGAAAGTTCATCTTTACTTCCTAAAAAGATTATCGGTGTCATAGCGGTCTGAAAACTGTTCGACGACAGCTCGGTTCGAGCTCCAAATCGCTGTAAGCCCACTTGTTACTTTTTTCTTATAGTTTCATTGCATACAAATTTCTCAAATGTTTTTCTTTTCATTCTCTCTGATTGCATAAGTAATTATATCCTTTTTGGAAAAAAAAATGAGATGAGAAGGGCATCAAGGTCTCCTTGAAATTTACCTGATTAAGGAGGAGGAAGAGTTAAGCTAACCTGACGTAGGCTAAAATTGGTGCTAAGCGCTCTCTTTTTAGGAAATATCAATCGGATCCGGCGAGGAACGCTGATCATAAGCGAATCCTTAGAAGGGTCCCCTTTCTTTTTACTTTCTCGCTCCCCTAGTTTTATATTCGGAGGCACCCCCAAATATTGAGTCCGTGGATCAAGTGAGGGACAGGGGGGGGGGGGTCAAGAGGCGCCTTACAGAAGGGGGTCAATTTACATCATCGCAATTAAAAGGTGGAATGAATGAAAAAGGGGAAATCCTTCGAAGTAAATATTTTCCATATTTTTTTCTGAAATGAGTGATAAAAATAGATTTTAAAGTGAGAAACCTACTGCCTTGTGGCGTCATCAGGAGACATTTCCTATTAAGCACGTGTATTTTAAGCAGATTAGGTTATTAGTTCATATTTCCTCAAATAATTGTTCAATTTAGAAACAAAGGGTATTCTCATGCTCAGTTCGCTCCGTAGTTTCTTCCTCAACATAAAATTTACAGACTGACAGACATCTGCAAATTCTCCATTCCTCAATATTTTCAAATAATTCTCAATATTTTCTTTTTGAACTGCCGTTGACTTTACATATATCTTTGGATCAATGTCTAATCAATAATGTTCGATGTTGAAACCAACACCTCTCTGTGGCCCCCTATATAAACTTGACCTGCAGCATCGCTGAAATGAACCTCCTCACAATTTTCAGTAGCGTGGCGTGCTATGCGATATATCGAATGATCTGCCATTTAAACCTATGGAAAAGGATCGATAAACATGGTGTTCGCAGCGAACACCTTAATAATCGATTCTTTACTATAGGTTTAAATTACATATCAATCTATTTATCGCAATTCACGCCTCGCCACTGACAATATTCGCAAAAATTTTTCGGAATGTACTTCGTGAGCATTTTCCATTAATGTGTGTGAGAAAACTTGGCACTTGCTGGGTATTTCAAAAATATTATAGCGTGTGGAGACCTTTTTTCGGCGATTTCACTTTAGCACACGGTTGCGGAATTTCGTCATAAAATTCGTAATTTAAAAGGTATCGAGACGAAAGCAAGGATGAAAATACTTGGAAATCGACATCATCGGCATCGCTCCGGCGTTTCGAGGGAAAGAAACTATTCAGACCCGAATTTCCGAATTCCGAGCCGGAGCGGTACGCGGTTCATTCTTCTTTTTCTTCTCCCATCTACCTGTAAAGGGCTTTGTCCGAGGTAGCCCTCCCTCTCCACGGCCACGGCTTTTTCAATTATCATTTTTCTGCACCAATAATTGTTAATATCCTACTCGGTTCCCAACCGTGGACTCTCCCTGCCCCGTATTCATAACTCGGACTCAAACTCGGCTGCGAAATTGGGACGATTTTGAATCGAGCGGACTCTGTGTCGCGTCGGAACTGGAAGCGATGAATACGAATTAGCGAAAAATAGGTGGCTTTTTCACACGATCCCGGCCTTTATCCACTGACTGTTGACACACGTGCAATCAGCCAGAGGCCAAAGGTCGCACCTTCAAGCATCTATTTCATACTTAAATCCATGGGAATGTTCACCACTCCGGACCCTGCGCTTTACCTATTCACCACCTCTCGTGAGAATATTTCAGGGAAAATTTCCTTATCTCAAGAACCTAAATTAGCCTCTTTAGCAATATACATTTTTGTTTAACACTTTCACTGATTTTTCTAATGAAATGTAAATATACAACCATTACAAAGCTATAGCGTTTTATTATCAATGGTCTCAGCAGGGAACAACCATCTCTGGCTGTGAATCAATAATGATGTGGTAGTAAAAAGCAATTTGAACACTAGGAAAATATAAATGACGGTACTCTGTCAAACACTTGAAAGTTTGTCCCACTACCACTCATACTTCATATTTGCCCCATTCATTGCAAATTAAAATAACGTGTAGTTCAGATATTTTGTAGTACAATGAGCTAAGCTGTTTTAGTTGCTTATACTCCTCCCATGTTCGCCCCTCTTTCGCACGGGGTACGAGGAGTGCGGGGGGGAGGGTGGCAGGCGCTTCCTCCGACCCCCCCCNCCCGTGGACCACCTATGACGCCTGAGTGAGTTTTTCGAAATCTTCCTAAAGAATGGTACACACTTTCATTGAGAAGCTAATACTTGGTGTCTTCAGTTGGCGACTCAACGATAGATTTTGAACTTGACAGCTGTAGTGATGGAGCGAGACCCTTAGTTGAATCAACTTTGAAACGAGCAACACCGGTGTTGTTTTTAACGGGGCCTCAACACGCAGCAGCACCACTCACCAGTGCGCACTGGGCCCAAAGCGAGATATGCCCGAAAGCAAGGACTCGCACAGCTGGTCGCGAACCCTACCCACAACTGGATGTAGTTATACTGAAAGGAACTGTGTTGCACGGAAACTCCGCGCACTAAAGTCCTTTTAGCATAAATACATCCAAATTTGAGTAATAAGCTGCTATTCAGGCCGTGGCTCGTTTCCTGTACAACTTCCCCTCTGCGCGGGGTTGGGGTTCCCCCGATTTCTCAGCACTGCCTCGTCTCGGTGAAATTTCAGATTCAGCATGGCAACGTGGAAGCAGAGTTGCCACATCATGCTAAGTAGCATCGTTTTCCCCAGGAAGCCGTATCAGATAGGCGGATGTTGCTTGATAAACATGAGCCAGTTGGAAGTAAAAATCGTGCCCGCCTAATTTTTAGACTCATTGGTGAAGTATAATTTTCTTCAGTCCTTTGTGAAGTATAATTTTCTTCAGTCCTTTTAAGAGTTACTTCACACATTTTCTCCAAATACTGCCCCATGGTGCATTCATTAATCATCATAACCGTGAAAGTTAGTGCTTTGATCAATTCTAACCTGACCGTCACAAAGTAACCCACCCGACGTACCCCCTAAATTACTAGGCTAGGACTTTCATTGAAAAAAAAGTCACGGACTGTATAGACAAACCGTCCGCTTCGGGCTCCGAGGTCGGAAGCTTCGGGTGATGGAGCTGTAGCTTCGATTGCTCCGGGTGCTACGCCCGGAACTTTCGGCTTCTGGGCCCGGAACGTGGACGGTGTCTAGCCCATTAGTACAGCCTCCACGGCCGGAGTTTTTTTCCTAGTGTCACAATGATTCATCTGTGAGCTGTGAGCTGTAAGCTGTATGTGAGAAGGAGGAAAGTATTGGTGAACGTCACGATTTTTACCATAATTCAATCAATTCACCGGTTAATAAGCATAGAAATCTGATGCTCATCTTGTGGCCGAAAACCTTATGACCTTGCTAGCCATCGGGTGCACCACTTCGAAAACAAAAGGATGGCTCCTCATTGGCCGTTCGCAGACAATTTCAAGATTGAACTGTCTTATATTCAACATACTATCGATGCGACGTCAAAATGAGCCAGGTTTTCGAGGGTTTAAGAGCCTCCTCTCCCATCCGCCTTTAACATGCAGGATTGCTATCGGTGCAGTCTGATGAAACACAGACTCACCCTTGCCGCCGCGCCGTGCACACATGACCTGCCTAAACAGGCAAAGCCAATATTTCTTGTTTGACCGAAGGAGAAACAATCGGACAGGCGATTTTGTCCCATCGGTCCACGAGGATCCAATCCGTTTACCAAGAGACAGGGTCGCCGCTAGAGCAGTTCGGTTGGTAATTAATAAAATCAGCCTGTAGAGCAAGGGATTTTTATCTTGTCCATCGGGTGGTACCGTCGTTCACCTCTCTATCCAGGGACGGTCACCTTCTGCCACACGCACGCCAAAATTCGACCGCACGTGCCTCGATGTCCATCGAATAGTCCATCTACATCTCAACATGTTCCCTGATTACCGTGTGTGCCAATGGCAATCTAGATCTCATATCAAAACACACGTGAATCTTTTCTTAGTCCGCTTCAGTTGTGTTTATCGGACCTAGAATCAATCAGGATGGTTGCCTAATAATTTTGATGAGCGAACTAGACCTCGGTAGGCAAAGTTTTATGGATGAGTTGATCGTTCAGTTTAGAAGCGGTTTTGGGGAAGTTTTTAAGCATTTTAATTCAGCTTTATAAGGCCTTGGGTGGGCCTTCGCGTGTGATTTGAATTTGATAGGTGGTCTAATGGCATGGATTTCCTGATGCCTCTCTGTACCGTATTAATTATAATATATTGTTAAGATGTATTCTTTCACGGTTATCAGATTCTACACAATCAAATCTTAGTATACTTGAATTGTTACCCTCCCTTCTTGTAGTATATGGTGAGTTTTGCTTGCGACTCGCAACTTCGCTTAAATCGAAATCAATTATCCGAACTCATGAGTTAAAATTAATAGTATTGATGGACCTTGACGTCTGTTGGAGTGTGTAGGCAAAAAAAAAAAAATAATAATTAGATGTACCTAGCTAGGCTGGGGAAAAATCGTTCGAGGTCGATTATTTTTTCGTAAGAGAGGTTATGTTTATTAATTGCAAAATGCATGTCAAAGAGAGTCTTAATAACTGTAAGACCAATAGTGGTAAATTTATTTAGTTCCTGAATGTTTTATCAGTACTACCGCCTTCATCCATGAAAATGAGATAATTGTCTCTTATAAATCGAAAGCGGTGACCAGATGGCTTAGAGTGCTCGAGTGGAGACTTCAACGCAAGAATAGAAAAACCGACTTCCTTTGTTGAAACTTTCATTGGCTACTTTTACAGAGTATTTATCTTTTACAAATGTTTCAGGACTTTTGTCTTAAAAATGAGCTTTTCGACTCACACTCTTGTTTTTTTTCTGTTTCAGGAACTCTCGTGTTTGCAAAACTCCTTACCCAAAAATGTGATTGTTGTGTAATTAAGTGCCTCCTCAGAAAACGACGGCCTTTTGTTATTATTGTTATCGAATTCAGATTCTTTTTCCCTAATGTATATTATACTTTTTGACAATATGCGTCCGTGTAAAGTACAAGTGGCTGGCTCATATTTTCTTAGTCTTCATAAGCAAAATAATGTGAAGCAAGCGCATCTATTTTCGATCACTTTTACGACCAAGAAAAGAACCCTTTGTTTCACTATTGATCCGTGAAGTGCCTTTATTCAATAGCTCCCGTACAGTATCATTCCTTAAAAAACTGTTTTTAACACTTTCCCCCAAAGCAGCTCTGTGGTCGATATTAGTCGTATGTGCTTCAACTTCATTTTAAAAAGCATTAAATTCATGTGCGTCTTATAGTAACCATAATAGTGAGCTGTATTTGCAAATTAGGTTTCACTGCCTTTGGAACATTCTGGGCTGGCAGTTTCATGCTAATAAGTCTCAAAAGTAAATGTTGATCTTCAATGATATCATAGCGCTATGACTACGTGTCGTCGGTGTCGTTTCAAAACTCACGTCACTCTCAAACTGAATAATTTATACTCATCACGCACATACCATTGCATTCCAATGCATGACTCCGGAACTTAGATTTTCAATAAAATCACTCAATGTCTAGTCATTTTTATTAAGTGCATTTTTTAATTTATTATCGCTCATTAATTTTGTAAACTTGTATAATATATCTTATTTTGTATATTTCTGTTCAAATTCGTTTCATTGATATTCCTTTTAGGTCTGTTAAAGTTATTAAAAAATCAGTGCTTTAATTTTATTTCCTCGACAAATACATGTCTTAGTGAGCTACCGCATTGCAGGCACCACTAAATTTTCCAAAAATGATCAGCACAGGTAGTTTAGGTAAAAAACACCCAGAGTAGTTTTTAGCTAAACTGGTCACTCGCATTGTCAATGCGAATGTGCCTTTGCCAGGTGCCTTTGCGTCTCATCTACTATATTTTCTTGAAAAAGAAAAACAATTTGTATTGCATTTCTTTAGAGGTTTTCATCCCTGCATTTTGTTATCAAAATGTTTTCCAATACTTAACGACTTGTGAATTTCTTAATGTGGCACATTAATGAGGGGGTTGGAGGACAAAGCGTAGGTATAAATTCAGTTTCTGGAAAAAATGAGATTAATGATTTCAAGTAAAACTAGCCTGAATGCATATTCTGTGAAAAATTCACTCCCAAATTCCAATTTTTAAGCATCAAAAAGTCAGTTTGAACTTTCTTTCCACCATAAGGATCTATGCCGTTTCGAAACTTCAAACACGTTTTTCTCGAAAGAGCGAAAACTGCTATTGCGCGACTTGTCCTCCAAACCTTTCAAATAGTGAAGTATTTTTTACAGATATGAATATTTTATAAAAGTAGAAGCTTGACCTTCAAAACTTTTTAATTTCATAGAAGATCTTTGATTGTTTTTAATTTACTTTTATTCGCACACATGGCATTCAAATTATATTTTGCCAACAAATCCGTGCAATTTGTCAACGATTTAAAAAAAAAAAAAGCACCCATCATAATATTAGTAATCGGAAATCCTAGAACAAATTATTTTATATATCTTTCTTCTTTGGTAATGTTTTAATCACTCACGCAAAACATGGATAGTCAGCTTTGCGACATCTTTTTAAGTGCATGTTGAAGTTATTCCTTTTGATACTTTTATATTTTGTACAAAATCAAACCAGTGATATTTTACCTACTGTTGTTGTAAAAGAATTCCCGTTCATCATGATCAAACAATATCATCAGTATTCTAGATCCATGTAACTCATAAGACTTTAGAATAAATTGATCCAAATATTATTTTGGCTGTGCTTGTATACACTCCTCCTTATTCCTGCTCTTTTTGAAAAAAATAAGGCATTAAATGCTCGAAAAGAAAGTAATTTCATCAGTTCAAATATTTGATCAAATTCGCCGAAGGTGATTCTATGATCTAGGGACGAGATCCGCCAGTACGCTGCGCTGCCTCACGGTTTACTTCTGTGAGAAGCAATTATTGTCGAAATGCACCAGATAATGCTAGAAATTGAGCCATAATGCGTAGCAGCATTAATACTGAGTAGAATGACATCAAATGTGTGTAAGATTCAGTGGCGTATGCAGGATAAGGTTCTGGGTTGGGGGCGGAATCTGGGGGCCACCCCGGATAATTTTCAGGATTTTAATCCCGTAAAACTCATCTTTTTAACAATATTTCTGTCGTGAAAAATGATAAGAAGCTCTCCACTATTTTCTCCCAAAAAGACCTTAAAAGAATGGAAAACCGTACATAAAAGACCAAATGGAATGTTTTGTGTTAAGTATGAGATAGAAAAATCCACTAACTTCCTGAAGAAAAAATGAGATAGGCAGACTTTCCAATTCCTTACATTCGCGAACATTGCGCTTTATATATGCGATTTTGCCCCATGTCTCCTTTTTTGACCGTCTGACGAGTAATTTCTGGACGAATTAAGAGAAGATGATAAATCAATGTACACGCAGTTTTGAACATGAATTGATGCAAAAAATAAGGAACCCAACACATTTCAGTTTTGCCAACATTACCTATTTTTTACGGTTTTGGACCATTATTGCCTCGTTGGAATATGGCGCAAGCTCTTTGGAAAGCCAGGTTCAGCGGTCATGCATGTACAGATACTGTTAGCGCTGATTGTTTGCACCTTTTATCTGTATACCTGCCTCGGCGCATTTCAGCCGTCTGTTGTGTTATTATTCCTGCGCAGATTGCGCTGGATTCTTAACTGTGCGGCAACACTGCAATATGTTAGGTTTCTTATTTTTACATCAATTCATGTAACTTGGTCTGAATTTTATCATCTTCACTGCATTCGTCCAGAAATTACTCGTCAGACGGGTAAAAAAGGAGACATGGGGCAAAATCGCAAAAAGCGCAATTTTCGATCATTTTTCACAGTTTGGCGCCCACCAGCGCACTTGATTTTGCCTTGAGCAAAAAAATGTATCGAAACAATTTTATAAGAGACTTAACGAGCTTTATTTTTGAAAATAACCAATTTTGTCGTCGGATTAATTTTTGGCAAGTTAGGTACAGGCCATGATTCGGGTAAAAGGCCAATTTTAGGCCATTTTCGCCAAATTTGGCAACTTTCCGGTCCGAATTTTTTGGTGCAAAGTTGAAATTCAGATTCAGCGTCAAAAATTACACAGGAAACAATGAAAACATATTGCTACCTGGTATCTTTCCTTATTCGCCTGGACTAATGTGGCCGATTGTATGAAGGACGTAGATATATTCCAGTACTTCTGTTTGACATATTAACTCACAAAAAATGTTCGTACATTTTTCATCTAGTATTAATTATGTTCATTTATTTATTTGATGATTGGTCTTGAACATTCAATACAATCAATAAATAAATTCTCCCCAGTAGGTCTCGAGCCCCTGCCTCGGATTCTGGATCTCTCGCATGCACAGGAGAAATGGTCAGGTGACTGAGCTATCGCGACTCGAAGGGTGCGGAGAGAAATTAGACATTAAACTCGTAGACTGACTCGTGTGTGGAGGGAGGGCGGAGCTTGGCTCCAGCTCCCCAGACTAGCTGTGTAATAACAGAGAATGTTAAGCGCATTTCTGTATAATCCATAGTTAGCACATGCTTTCATGTGTCTCAAGGTTCACCCCAAGCATGCAGTGACTGCTATTTCTCTATCACGGCAGTAGAGTTGCCTTTTCATGGATTTAGTGAATCAATCGTTCAAAATGAAGCTCTGATTTACGCTTCTGTAGCCGTAATGGGTCCTTCAGAGCAATTTTCCACCTTGAGGAAGACTCATTATTTTTTTAGGAATTTTTCTTCTCAAAATTTGGTGTGGTATAATTGCGGCTTCTTAAGAGCCACCTTACGTTTACCCGCTTTTCATCGAACAAGGACTTACATCAAAGATGCTCATTGGCTACAAAGTTACGGCGGGATTTAAGCTTCTAAATTTGAGTCGTTTGAGCGTAGAAAAACTTATTTGAAGCTTCTGTCAAATAAAATAATTCGGTTTTGACGGGAAAATGTTCGCAAGGGTTTTCCCTGAAAAGTCGATTCGGTTTTCGGGGAATGACCATGAGGGTTTGACGGTATAACGGTTCAAACACGAAAAAACGGATCCGACGGGGGAAAAATTTGGACAGCCTTTTGCAGGCTCGGACTGGCCATAAGGCCAATCTGCTGTTGGCAGATACGCCCTCTTGCAGCGCCAAAAACATGCCCCTCTGACAGATAGCAAAATAAGGAGAGAAAAAGAATTACGACCGAGAATGTATGCGGAAAATTTCTTAAAGAACGGAAGGAGAGAGAGTCAGGAGCAAAGAAAGGTGTTTTTACGCACGATGGTGGTGAACAGAGGTCCAAGAATTACTTTATGAAGCGTAAAAACATTTCTGTGAAATGTTCACCTTTTCGTTGACATACAGGCGCTTTATTATCCCCCTTCCCTATTCGCTATGTGTACCTCTCTTAGAAGCGATGGTCGGTTCGATTTTTAGACATACAAACCCTATTTCGACCTCTTGAGAGACCTTTAAACATATTTCTTCCTTTTTAAAATGACTATTGGTTTGGACATACCATAGCATATCTCGGGCAAACTAAACCGTAATTTATATCGAAATTCAAAAATAGGAGACATCTAAAGTGTAAACGCGATACAACTATTCGCGCAAGATGGATGTCCACATTGTATATGAAAAATGTAAGATGCGATGGCGTGAGTCGTGAACTCGCAATCCTCTGCTCTATGCTACTAGTTTGAAGCACCGTTACGAATATAAGACAAATGCAAGCGAACACAATGAAAATAAAGCGAGGGAAAGGATGCGCGTTAACGACGGCGCAGAGATACAACTATTCGTACTTGATGGACGTCCGTGCTGCATCTGAAAAATTGAAGGCGCGATGACGCGAAGCGTGACCTCTTGATGCTCTGCTATGTGCTTTCAATGAGGTGTCGCTTAGTTTCGGGAGAAAAGTTTAAAAAGAGGCCCGAACACATTTCTCCTACCTTCGGCTTTGTTACTCACGTAGTGCTTGAAGCACCATTACGAATAAGACAAACGGATACAAACACAACATGGAAATGGAGCGAGGGAAAGGATGCGCGTTAATGACGGCGCAGAGATACAACTATTCGTGCTTGATGGACGTCCGTGCTGCATCTGAAAAATTGAAGGCGCGATGACGCGAAGCGTGACCTCTTGATGCTCTGCTATGTGCTGTCAATGAGGTGTCGCTCAGTTTCGGGAGAGAAGTTAAAAAAGAGGCCCAAATACGTCATTTCTGTCTTCTGCTGTGTTGATACTCATTCTTTCTTCTGTCTTCAGGTTCTTGTCTGATTTTTTTTTTAGAATGAATTTGCAGACCCATGTCTCAAACTTATAAGCTCGTGTAAACCGCATCATTGGCTCGGTTTTTTTGGAAATAATGGTGCTTGGATGCGTCTAGTGTCTTTAATTTTGTATGTTTTCTTTAATTTCAGAAATCAGTCGGTTACTTAAATAGTTCAATTTTGCAATTTTTATTCTGTGTGATTAATAAACCTAGAACCTGAAAATAGTATGAACTTGTGCTGCTTTGCCGAAATTTTCTGAACCCATCTCCACGTAGGGGATGCCCTACCAGGAAATACCACATTACGCCCCTTTAACCAATCAAGGGTCTACGCCCTCATATGGGAGCCAGTCCGACCCTGGCCTATTGAACAGCATTGGTTTATTGGTGTGCTATGTACTATGGTACACCCGAGTGAGCAGGGGCGGACTGGTAATCGAAAAGTTAGGAGGCGACCTAGATTTGGGGGCCCCTCCTGTCATTCGGGGGCCCCTCCAAGGAAGTCCGGGGCCCTCCCCCGGAAAATTTGGAAAATTTCACACTTTTTAAACGCAATTTTAAGCATTATTGGAGTTAAATTCTACAGTATTTGAACTTCAAAATAACCCATTCTCAGGATTCTTCGGGGGACCCTTCATCACATAAGCTTTAGACGACCTTTCGTGTCTCTTGAAGACAAATTTTCAGGGATTTTGGGGCCTTTAAGTGACTGAGAAGGATAAAAAAATCACAACATTACGGGGAAAAAACCATAACTCGAAAAAAATTCAAAGCGGAGGCCCCTTCGGGACCTCCACGGCAAATTGTTAGGAGGCAATCGCCTCCCCGCCCCCATGGCCAGTCCGCCCCTGCGAGTGAGATCAAAAAGCGAGCCCTTATTTGCATGCTTAAAAGGGAGAAGGGAAATTATCGATGATATATTCATCCTCATATGTACCTATGCTAACTAAATAGTCAGAATGGTGTACAATTTTAAAAAATTACGGAGATTAGCGTGAAACAGGGTGCTCCCGGGCGCAGCTGCGGGACTGTGGTCCGAGGCCCATTTACGGTCCCTGCCACGTCAACTTTGAAAAAGCATACCTCCAATACCAATCATTTCCCCAACATGTTCAATAGCTCATTTTAAAGAGAAAAATAAGGGCTATATTTTGCACACATATTCATAACATTTCGTGCGACTCCTTACAACGAAAAATTGAAAATATTGAAATGGATGGTCAAATAATGAACAAAGAATACATAGGGAGTATGGAGCGAGCCTATTGATTGAAGTGGGAGGTGAAGTGGGGGTCTTTTAGACCAAGGGAGAAAATGATGGACTAGGAATTGGGTATCTCGTGAGTTGCCGTTAGTTAGTCTATAACCTAACTCCTTTGACCATTGCAACCACCCACTTCCACCAATAGGATCCCTCCATACCGCATTTGTCTTCTTTGTCCATAGCTTTGTCGACCAATT